CAAACCAGTCCGGATAAACTATTAGAACATAATAAAAAGAGGCTCATGAAAATTATGTCTTCTGGTTGGTGTTGCCCACCTCATACTAGCAAGGACAAAGCAATCCCTTGTTTACCCCAGCTTGGCTTTTGGTCTGTGCCATGCCTGGTTCATGCCTTGGACACGTGGGAAAAAAAGAAAAAGAAAAAAGACTGTCTCACCAAATCACCAAATAACTCTTACATGCCCCCCGCCTTTATGTATGGTTCATATAGCCAAAGGCCAGGTGATCATTATATTGACAGTAAGTTACAATAGGTCCAAAAGATTCTCCCTCCCTGATTTCATGTGGCTCAAGTCTAAGGCAAATCATACAGCTAAGATTTACCATTAAGACTACTGCTGATGTACAGAAGAAAGTGGTCTAGGTCAAGACCTTGATGGTAGATGCTCCCTTAAATTCAGTTTCAATTTACTGATGATCTACAAGGCACATGACATAGAACAAGGTTTTATAATCCTATGGATTCTACAGGGCAGTGGATTAAACTCATCCAATTTTCTGCTAAAGTTTTTCTTACAGCAATGACTCACGAAATTAAGAAAATTAAAAAGCTTTCAGCATATTTTCCTACTAAATACCAACTCTGTAGTTTATGAAAAAATAATATTAAAATCAAAAACAGGTTGGCATATCAAAGAAATCTTTTTAAGGTAGCAGCTTCTGCTCTTAAAATCTTCTCATGAAATCACAGGAGTCAGTAATTTGGATTTTAAACAGAAATCGATAAGAACAATTAATGGGTGAATGGGACTTTCACAAGGGTTGCCACTTCCGTGGAGTCTTGCATAAGAAAATTCTGGAGCTATCTCTATGGGTAATCAATATATACAAAAGCTAAAACCATTCTGGGTTTATTATAATGAGACCATGCAGTCATGACAGGCATTACTTACTGGGAAAATGAAAGTCCATCTCTTTGGGGTATAAATCATGCCATCAGCATTGAAAGCTTAGTGTTCCTTAGGCTTGGCTCCAGCAAATAATTGAGGAATCACTCAGCTTTGTAACTCTGAGTTCTATCCTATAGGATGGTTGATAGGAAGATCTGCTTCAAAGAATGGCAAAACCCCAGAAACAGACTGAGGAGTAGTAATGTCAGGCAGTGACATTATAAAAGTGACAAAAAAAGGTGATGGCTGTGGGGGTAGAAGAAGAAAGTCAGAGGCACCTACCAGCTCCTCACATAACCATAAACTGACCTGGGAGGACCAGGTAATGAGAGAGCTGAGGGCTCTGAAGAGCTCCTGCCTCCAAACGATCTCAGAAGCATGTGGGGCACAAGTGGTGGAACTGCTGGAAGGGGAGTGGGCCTGAGACGAAGTGTCCTTTCCACACCCTCATCAAGTTGAGTGGTTTAGAGGCTCTCCCTGATTTTTAATTTCCTTTCTTTTTACTTCTTCACTTGCTGACTACAAGGTCTATTTTAATATTATTCTCGATTGTTTGCCCACTAAATGTGAAACTTTCCCACCCAACAACCACACAGCACTTGGGCTTCTGCAGTTCCCCTCTGCAGTGAGGGAATCTGCACAGACGGCTGGAACGCTGTCTTCCATGAGCCTGAATTCCACTGCTAAAGCCTGTCTTCTTCAGTGTCCCAGCTTCCCTCTTGCTTTACCTTTTACCCCCTTCCTCTCACCCAATCCCCATCTTTCACTTTGAGGTGGTTTTTCCAATGCCCTAAACCCTCAAGCTATTCCTTCATTCACAGGAATGTATAAATGACTGACACAGTCAATTGTCTCTGATGGGTATGTTTGCATTTTAACTGGAATACCTTTTTTTTTTTTTTTGGTGGCTGGCCTGTACCAGGATCTGAACTCTTGACCTTGGTGTTACCTTGAGTTGACTGTGGTGTTATAACACCATGCTCTAACTGACCAGCACTTAATTGGAATACTTTTAAAGGGATACAGCTATAATGTTAGAAATCCACGTACTACTAAATCCTTGAGTGAGCATTACTAGGGCATTGGAGCTTCCCAGCAGCTTGAAATCACACCCAGATAACTTCCCCTATTTATGTAGAAGGCCAGCCTAGATTCCTGTATTCAGTAGGGCACCCACCTATCAAATGGCACTTGTTCGCACTGGACTATAATTGATTATTTACTTGTATCCTCACTAGACTGAGCTTCTCAAGAGAGACCAAATCAAACTGTCTTTGTATCTTTAGATCCCAACATAGCACTTCCTACCAAGTAGAGATCGATTTAA